TAGGTGATATGGCTCACTGATCCTGAATATTTTCGCTCCAGGTGTGTTTGCAAAGCTTCAGCTGGCTCCCACAGGCACCCCCCGGATGAGCGCACCCTTAAAAGGACTTCTGCTGTTCTCTCAGGACAGGTGCCTTAGCTTTTTAAGGCTTCAACAATGAAGATTGGTTACTATAGTTCCCTTTTTAACCTTTTCCAAATCCTTAGGATTTTGCCTCCTCGTATCTACCCAGGAGTTGCCGCCTGTATGCTGGACCTTTCTGATTTTTCTGGTTTTTGTCAGATGATATCCCCCTTAACCTGCCAGTGGTCACCCTTAAGATGGCTGTATCTAGTCTACTCCCAAATAGATTGGAGCCAACATCTGGTATCTTGCACTAGTTTAATTTCAAGATGGAATCTGTCGACCATGGCTTCAGCCATAATACCCTCCTTGCTGTGACTGCAAGAAAGAACATTAAATGATGCCTCCGCCACAGAGCCTCCGCCACAGACCAATTCCAGCTCTCACAAGGCTGTTACCACCTTGTCTCTCTCCACTTCCTCCAGGATTTCTTTAATATTAACTGTCCAACTCCATATTGCTCTGTCTACCACTGCAAATGTTATAGCTGCTCTGCAGGCAGCTGCAGATGCTACAATACATAAGAGCACTTCAGATCTAGATCTAATTTTTTGGACTAGAGCGTCCTAGAATGTAACAGCAAAGTGATGTGTCTTGTCAGTGGCATCATTGATGCATCAACATCTGAGGCGACAGCAGCAGATTGACCTTTGGCTCTTTCAGGGGATACCATTTTGACAACCTGTTTATACAGGCCTTTTTCCTGGCCCCTGTCATTCTTCCTGGGTTAACTCCTCCAGTCTTCAATGAAGGGAAATGAGACTGGATCTCTCTTGAGATTTGGGAAGTACTTTCTAACCTTGTCAAAGTTTCCTACACTTCACCCCAGACAGACTTGACATACTAGCTTGGAAAGGCAATGGCTTTCTATCAGAAACACAGCAACCTGTAAGTCTGCAATGAGTGATAATAATGAGAGGCGAGATGCTGACATTTATCAACATTGCCTGGATGCCTGTGCCTAAATGGCAACTGTTCTGGCCTTTACAGGGCTACCTGCATCTTGAGGACCTTGCAGGGCTGTATGCTGCTTGCTCCAGGCAGACATGACATACTAGCTTGTCAGGCAAACAATTTCCACCACAAGCACAGCAACTATTAGGGCTGGTAACTTGTGATGTTTGTAGACAGGGAGCAATAAGAATGAGAGGTGAGATGAAGACCATAAACAACATTTCCTGGATGTCTGCTCTTAGATGGCAACTTGTCTTGATCTTTAGAGGGTTCCTTCCATCTGAAGGTCCTTACAGGGCTGTAGATATTACAACAGTATTGGCTCCCTTTTTCTCAATATCTTCACTACTTACCTAATCCTTTTACCTTACAAGCAATGGGTGGTCTTACTGGGCAGCATTCCCCGTAGAAACAGAGAAAAGCAGCAGACTGAAATGAAAAGCAACATGACACGGTAATGCCAGAGCAACACTGAGAAGGAGATAAGAAAAGCCCAGGTGAAATGCCATAAAAAAGGGAAAACATACCTGTAAACAGTGATCACATAAGCATCCTAAATGCATGAGTAGAGAACACCACCATGTGTTTCCCAAAAATTCATTAAAACCATTTAAAACTGTCACCCTTGGCCATTAGTATTGGTATCAGCACCTGAGCATGCTCAGATCGCAGTCTGGGGCTTACAGAATCTCGGAAAAGGGCAAGACAGGAAACTTTCCACAGTGGCCGCATCTCTTCCTGCCATCCATGTTCAGAGTGTACTTGCACTGCTGAAGCCATCTTTGAAATAGTAAACACACACAACACAGACAGGTCCAGGAAAGTACTGGCAAACAGAGAAAGGAAGGGAAAAGCATATGGAAAGAAAAGAGAAAATACTGCCATTACACCAAAGCTTTTCTAAAGCACCACCAGAATAGGGCTCCAACCATATAGCCAATTTAGGGACTGTACAGGAAGGACTTCTACCCATGGAGGCTGAACCTGGTTAGGGGCAACAAACTGTAAGAGATGCCTCGTGACTCTAGTCCTGATCAGGTGAGAACAAAGAGGAGAATGCTGTGAGCCAGGTCTGCCTTTGATTCATAGTTGAAAACCAGTCCTATCAGGTTGTAGGGGCAGAGTCACAACCCAATTTATGCTGCCAAAAGATGCCCCAGGAAAAATAGAGAAGGGACGGAATTCCTTATACTGAGCTTGGACGCTGAAAAGGTGGTTGATCGCCTGAACTGGCCTTTTCTTTTTGCTACACTTCAATGTATGGGTTTTAAAATGGGGGGTCTATGGGGGATGAATTCCTGTGAGCAATTAAGCATTTATACTGTACCCCTTCCACACAGGTTAAGACACCCTATGCCACCTTGTCTCCATTGGATATGTCCAATGGCATGAGACAGATGCCATCTTCTATGGGAAGTGATGCCGCCAGGTGAATGGGGGATGTAAGTAGAAAATGTGATCCTGTCACTTTCCGGGTCCTACACGATGTCACGTCCAGCTCACTGAAACACGGGGCTTGAAACACACGCCGGGAAATACAGAGAAACATGCTGTCCCCACATTGGCTGTACAGACTGGTGCTATGGGGGGTACAGGCACCAGACAATGTGAGTGCATTTTTTACTTATTTTATGAACCATGGGGGTTCCTAATAAATACTACATTTAGAGCACATTTCATGGATATTGAATTTTCGTTTTGAATTCTTTGAGAGTTACTACTATAAGATGGGGGGAGCCTGAAAACCCACCATGTGAAAGCCTACATTGGGGGAATCCATATGTCATTGGGGGATGAAATCATCCTAGCATTATTTGACCACCCAGAGTGGGAAATTCATTTAATACTCAAAAGTGGTGAATAGAATGGGGGAACCTACTGGAACAATATGGACACCCTCCTATGGGGGACTCTCATTCATTTACATTTTCTGGACTTTACCATTACCCTGTATTAGATTCATTACTTATTACATGTGGTGAAGGAGAGCACTTTATATATATTTGTATTTCAACTTTTAGGTTTCATGACACATATGTATATATTGTAATTTCATTAAGCAAGCGCCTGCCTATTTATGGTTTTGGTATTTAATACCCCACAAGGTTATGCAGGTGAGAACAAAGAGGAGAATGGCACCACAATATGCTTATAGAGAAGGGACGGAATTCCTTTTTTTTTATTTTTGAGACAAAATCCTAGTGAGCAATTAAGTATACTGAGCTCTCCCACGGTTAAGAAACATTGCAGGTTGTATAGTCCTCAGGCAGCCAAAAGTTCCATCTTGTGATTCTCTAGGTGAAAAAACGTAAGTAAAATCCTGTCATTTTTGGTATATACTCCGATGTCACGTCCACCCTCACGATGCTTGAAACACACGCCGGCCAAATACAGTGACACATCTGTCCCCACATTGGCTGTGCCAGACTGGTGACCGGGGTACAGGCACCAAACAATTTTCCATACTTATTTTATGAACTGGCAATGCTAATAAAATACGTATATTTAGAGACCATTTTGGATATTCGTTTCGATTTTGATTCTTTGAGAGTTTGCTATAAGAAGGGGAGCCTGAAAACCCACCATGTAAAAGCCTACAGTTGGGAATCCATATATCATTTAATCATCCTAGCATTATTGACCACCCAGAGTGGGAAATTCATTTAATACTTTATGGTAAGCAAAATAAAACAATATGACACACATCCTTTACATTGCGAGATATCTCATTGCTCTCTACAGGTAAGGAGAGCACTTTATATATAATTTGTATTTCAAAAAAAAAAAGAACCCATCTTATTTTGTTTTATACTCTAGAATTAAGGATGTAAAAGTTATGGAAGCTCACTGCTAGATCACACGCCTACTCTAGAGCTTCATAAAGTATGGGAATTGAGCATCTCAAGGAAGCTCTCCCCGCAATAATTGCAGGTTGTACAGTCTCAGGCAGCCAAAAGTTCCATTTTTTTCTCTATAGAAAAAAACTCATAAAATACTTATTTTTGGTATATGACTCTGAAACCCTCCATGCTTCTATCTATGTAGTGTTCGCTGTTGGAGATGCCAAATTTTTTTTTTTTTAATCTTTTTTCCTTTTGGACTGATATGTAAGTTGATTGTCAAATGATGACCCCTCCCCCCATTCTTTTCTTTTTACTCTTTTTCTCTTCTTTCCTTGTTCCTATTTTCATTTTATTAATAATACACAGAGTACTTGGTTGTTGGCACTCATTTATAAATACATGGACAGATTACAGCTATAAGCTATATACAGCTTTTTTCAAGATGGATTTGCCTTCTGTGTAATGATATTGTTACCCACCATTTCATTTTCTTTGTCTATTTTATAACTCTTTTTTCCACATGCCAATGCAAGTTCAGTGTAATGTTCTTTCTTTACTCATGTTGCTACAGAGTGCTATGTACGCTGTGTGTTTTGGAAAATCTTTAATAAAAAGTTATTTATAAAATATACAAATTTAATAAAATTACCCAAACCTTCATATCATAGTGCAGCTAAAGAATTATTAATAGGATTGCTTAAACTATACCTATAATATACTGATTTCTATTTCTCTTACCTTAGGGGTTTGCCTATATGGCTAGAGTACCTGGCCTAGCAAGGCTAAGCTGGTGGCTGGAGAGCATGATTTTTTTTATCATCTTACCATAGTTCCAGCATGTTTTCATTTTTTATATACTTTGTTTATTAAAGGGTTTCAGGATTTGTGCAACTACACAAATTTGTTGTCTAATGGTAGGCATGCTAAAATATGGAATAATGAGCATTGTGGAATACAGCTCTGCTATGGGTTTTATACATAGTAGCTGAACTATAAACAGTAATAATGTCTAGTGTCAGTGATTCATACAGTACCTGCTCAGATAATTCTTTCCCATATCTCAGATTAGTTGCAAAGTGTTCACAGTTGGCTTTCGAGGGAATATGCCATTGTTTTCCCTTCTTCTTTTAATGCCGCTCTAACAATTTTTCCAGCTGGATAAGGGGAGAATTTGCTGTCATACTTGTTATTCACTCTATACTTGCATCCACGGGCGACATTCTTCAAACATTCCTTTTTCACCACAGCTGTTCCTTCAAGTGCAGGAGACGCAATGGAGCAGCCCGCTCGATCTGAATAGAAGGGATAGAGTAGATATGTAAGTTGTGGACCAGATGGAGCTAGTAAGTTTAGCACTACTATCTACATTAGTTTATGGATAAAATGGGCTTTCTGTAGCCTTTAGGAGCCATGTAAAGACCATTGAAACCAAAGAAACTTCATTAAGTCCCCCCCCCCCCAACTTTTTTTTCATCCAATCTCACCAGTTGTGCAGGGTTTTCTTTGGAAAAAAACTAACCTGCCCAGAAAATCCAACATTGTCCTGCTGCTTCACTGATACAGGCTAGGTCTTGCGCTACCATCTTTCCTTCCTATATCAAGAGCTTGGTGTCATTTTTTCAGCCAGTGAAAAGTTGTTCAGTAAAAATGATCCACCCTAGTCTACAGATGCTCAATAGCGTTTACGATACTGAGAATCTACTCAACGCAACCTCAACATTTACTTTCTTTTTTTTAATTCTTTAGCACCACACTCACAAAACTGTGCAAAACATCCCCAGTATATACGTCAGAAGGAACAGGGTAACATCCCCCGAGCACCAAAATCACAATGCAACAATGCAATAACCAGCCAGGAGTAATACAAAAAGAAAACAAACAGGCAATGCAATATACTGTATACTGTAGAGAAGAGTGCCAACATGAGGTGTATCCCGGGGGCAAAACTAACTGCAACAATGAGTGTTGGGGTCTGTCCGTTTTTATAGAGAGTGTATATAAAGGAATGAGGAACAGAATGAGTCGGTAACAAAAACCTGGAAAAGAGACAAAGGAGGGAAGAGAGAAGAAAAAAAAAAAAGGGGGGTAGGGGAGGAAGTAGGAAAGGATAGGTACAGGATACCGAGAGAAGGAAGGGAAGTCCAGCCTCCAAGTGTAAAATAATTCAGTCCAGAGAGGAAAAAACAAAGAGGGATTTCCCCTCATCAGAGAAAGTAAACATATTCCAGAGAAGCCAGGTCTTCGAGTAGGCCTCATGTCTATTTTTGTGATGTTAGAATCAAATCTTCCATTCTATTGACCTCCTCTACCCTTGACAACCAGAGCGGGACAGAGGGAGGACAGGAGTCTCTCCAACGCAGGGCGATACAGGATCTGGCGGAGTTGAATAGGTGACGTAAAATCGATTTGTCATATGTTTTTTCAGGAATGTAAAGACATGTAAAAGAAATTGAGCCGGGTCTTCAGGGAGGATAATAATGAGTACATTTCTGAGAGATACGATGAAGGATTCCAGTTTCGAACATGTCCAAAAAATATGCAATAAAGAACCCCTGTCCCCCCAGACATCTCCAGCAGCGGTCGGGGAGTGTAGGGCAGCAATTAAGGAGTATCGACGGAGTACTACGGTACCATCTGTTGAGAAGTTTAAGTTGGTTTCTTGTATCCACGTTAAGATGGAGGATTTGAGAGCAAAGCGCGGATGATTTGCCTCTATGTTGGACGGAAGAGAGGATCTGTTCATCACCGTTCCCATTTCCGCAAAAAGGCGGGGGGGGGGGGAGTAGTTCAATTGTGCATACATTTGAGAGGGAGAGAGTGTGGACAGGGGCCCTCATCAGGGGTGGACTGACAACTCATGGGGCCCCCGGGCAATAGGGCATCATGGGGCCCCTGTGTCCTTGCCCAAACTCAAAAAAAGCCTATGAAAAAGGTACCAAAGGGGGCATTTCATGGGGCCCCTCTACTGACCGAGTTTCCAAATGGTCAGTCCTCCCCTGGCCCTCATCCACACAAAGTCATTCAATAGGATGAAATTCGCTCCAGAGGAGGGAGTTCCATCAAGAAATGTAGTTGTAGTGCGCTACAAAAGTTCAGGTGGAAATGGCCCGTCTCGGAAGTAAGCATTGCAAGGAATGGCCACTGTGAATAATTCAATAAATGGGATGCTTGGTAGCATAGGGAGCCCAATGAGGCATAAAGTAATCCAGGCAGATGATATACCCGCGGTCTATTGGGGTGAACCGATTTGGGGCCCAGTGCTCTATGTACCCTATCAAGCTCTAGGGGTTCCGGTAGAGTTGTATCGAGCACTCGATGGAATATGGCGACAACTGTATCTCATAAGTCCTCCGGTCCCCGTGACCTCAGGAAGTCCAAAGAGCTGCAAGTTGTTGCACCGGCTCCGGTCTTTCAGGTCCTCCATGCGGAGTTGTAGAGTTACTGCAGAGTCCGCCTGGCATGCCTGTTTCTCACTCCACCTCCACAACCCTGTCTTCTATGGCCCCTCGCACCACCTCCTCCTGTGACAGACGTTCAGATAGTTGCTGCACATCAGTGCGGATTACCTGGAGGTCTTGTTTGTGGGTCTCGGTTATGCGTAGAAGCAAGGCCTCAATATCGGCCCTTGTAGGGAGGGCACGCAGGAGTTCTCTGATCTCCACATCATCTTGCAGGTAAGTAGACTCCGAGGAGCTGGGAGCCAGGGCAAGAGTGAGGGAGCCAAGGTCACAGGGAGGTCCGAGAAGGCGTCTGAGTCCCCGTATGGAGCAGTGGACGTTGCCGCCTCCAGCGGGAGGCCTTAGTCAGCCTCGCCACCGCACAAGTCTGCCACAGTAGGCCGCAAACTGGCAGCAGCGGTTCCCGGGAAGACATGCTGGATGGCAGACCGGGCCAGGGTCCTTGGTCTTTTTGCGTTTCATTGAGCTCATGCTGGTGCTTGCAGGCTGCAAGGTAAAGATGTAGAGCTGGAGGGAGACAGAAGCTCTAAAGAGGCGCGTCCCTACTCCGCCAAGTCCAAACCCACGCCCACAACGTTTACTTTTTACCCCAAAATTGGATATTATATTGTGTTTGTGTGCACTAAAATTACTTTTAGTGTATTTTTTTGGTGAAAATATGCGTTTCATAAATAGCTGTGTGAATATTGTTTGATATGAAAAAGAGCAACTGCTTCCATTTTGTTCTCCAGTACCCTGCTTTCAGAAAACATAATGTTAGGGAGTTCCAAGTAATTTTTATTATCAAAAAATGCTGATTTTTCCATGAAATGGTGACATTTTGCCAAAACCTCATAATTTGTGATGACATTTCACTCATCCTAATAACTACAGTGTATCCTTGCACAACAGACTTGCTATTTGTATGCTTAATCCATATGACCAATTTACTCTTTACTGCCTTATCTTAAAACTTTAGTAACTAAAGCTGCCCATACATTATACAATTTTCTTTAGACTTACCTTCAACAATGTGATTGCATACAAATTAAAGGTGTTTAGGTTTGATCTCATATTATATGGTTTTGGTAAATCTAAAAGGAAAATTGTACAAGAGAATTGTATAATGTATGGCCAGCCTTATTAAAACTAACGTAAATACTGCCTCACCTTGTCTATGTAGATTCTCATGTAATTTATCACAGTCAGATGGACTTGTTCTGTAATGTATCACGGCACTTGCAAACCACTTCTTCAGTCCTAATGAGTGTCAGGAACATACCCCATCATTTGGGGCTGCTGTTAGTAATCACAGGGCCCCATACAGCCTACCTGACAGGTTCTCTACCTCAAAAAAATATAAACTTATATTTTCACTAAAGTTCTACGGTCGCAATGCTATGCTTTGCAGCCATGGCAGAAATTATTCCGTTGCTACTGCTGCCTCCTGACACCCGTGTGTTTTTTGTTTTTTTTTTACTTTTTTTTTTAAATTGCTGAATGGCAATTTTACTTTGAAAGACTGCGCTGCAACTTGGCTCACAGTTGCAGAGCAGCCATATTGAACTCAATAGGGAGTTTGATAGGTAGGGCTGACTGTCAAACTCTGCAGCCTGCTTTTAAAATGCTGAAGCTGTGAAGTAAATGTAGCATGTATACAGCCTTATCTGACTATATTGTTAGGATTTGGGTGAGCAACCAGGGATAGCGGTATATCCACATCTCAGCTGCCCATGTTAAAGAGCCTTTAGGCCGCATTCACACTTGGCATTGCCTGAACATGTGACAAAGTGTACAGGAAAGTGATTTTGCACTGCAGATGCGCATAGTAATTGTGAATGGGCTGCCCTATGTAAGAAAAAAAATGTGAGCAGGAATGAATGTCCCTCTATGCGAAGTGTGAACAGGGCCTTAGGGCTGGCATATAGAAATGGCTGGGCAGAGATGTCTATCAGCTGAAGAGAGAGGAGTATTCACTGGCCCCTAGCTCTAGCACTGCAGTGGCTGTGTATTTATACATGTTGATCATATCCCCCCTTAATCTCCTCTTCTCAAGAGAGAATAAATTCAGTTCCTCTAATGTTTCCTATATAGCTGTCAGAGCCTGGGTCCGAACCGGGCCTTCTGGGGTGAGAGGCAATGTTTCACCTGGAATGTTGGACAGCTCCCTAGACAATTATTTGGATGATCCTACCTTGACCTTGTTTATCTTGCACCTTGAACCCCTTGCTTCTCCCATGAACTTCCTGATAAAAGCCATGTCTCTGCATTTCCTGTTTGCCAGATTATTGTGCCTTCTCCAGCCAGTATCTTGCTTTGTCTCTTCTGCTGCCATCTATACCTTCGCTACCAACCTTTGGCTTGTTCCTTGACTACGATTCTGCCTCACCCCAACCTGCTACCGCTTGTTACCGACCCTTGGCTTGTTTACTGACTACGCTTCTGATAGATCCCTACCTGCCATATCTGCTACTGGTTCCTGGCTTGCTCATTCCCTGGTGGGGTGATCCTGAGAACTGCGACCTGGTACTAACACGCAGCGAAATCCATCTCCACCATCAGGATCTCTGGTGAATACCGGTTAGTGCTTAGACCTCAGGTGAGCCTGCGTCATTTCCCAGGGTGACCTGCCCGTGTACCTATCCTGCTGGTTTCAGGTAAGCCTTACACTGCTATAGCAACTGGTCTTTGAGCCTGACAATAGCTGATCTCTTCCATGCCTCGTATCAGTTTGGTTGCCCTTCTCTACACTTTCTCCAGTTCCCCAATATTCTTTTTGTGAATTGGTGCCCAAAACTGAACTGCATATTTCAGATGAGGTCTTACTAATGATTTGTACAGGGGTAATATGAGAT